AATACATCAGTATAAATTAAGTTTTTTGTACTTAATTTAAATAGACTAGGGAGTGAAAGTGTAAAACAATTAATTGTGTCTTTACTTGTAGAAATACCTTTAACCTGGCTGGAGGGATGCTTGATAGGCTTCAATCGGCTGGCAAATCCTCCCAGCCCGAACACACTTCCTTTCTTGTTGAATCCTCCTACAGCCTGAAGGAAGAGGTTGTCGTTAGTGGACTGAGAGGAGTCGGATAAACCGTCTACTGCTTCCTGCTTGGCCCTCTCCTCTTGGAGCTTTTGATAGTTCTCCTACAAGCAAAAAAATAAAAATAAAATGTGGACATCTAAAATGAAATTAATGCTCATAGTTCAAACAAGAATGAAGTAATAAATTCAATAAAATTTGACTCATGCACACCACTAATGCTTGGATTGCTATGGAATGTGGGATTATAAGCTATGTAAATAGCTGAACAACTATCACAGACACGACCAAAGTAAATGAAGGTCTTGGAACAAGAATTGCACCATCGGAGCTTGTAAGAACCTGCACCGGTAAATTAGGAATTTATTTAATTAATTATGAGCTTAAGTGAATAATTCCATAATTGACCTTAAATAATTATGGTAAGGTAAGAATAATTAATATAAGGGCTTAATAATGCTGAAAGTCACTTTTCTAACGAAAAGTGCGGATACCGGTTCTGCTCCACGGTATAAGTACATACTGATGAAGTATCTCAGAAAATTATAATAATTATGTGAATATTCCTAGGATAATATTTAAGACTAGTATGTCAAGTTTCAAGTCGAAATAATGAGAACTGGCATCAGGACTGATACCGGCTTCGTAAAAGCGCGTACCGGCAAAGTGCTGCAAAAAATAAAAAAAAATATGAAAAATCCTAGAAAAATGGCTAGGTTCAGAATTCAAAGTTTGAGGTTAAAATGATAAGCGAAACTATTAGTGCTAATACAGTGTGATTAAACTTAAACCGCCTATATATATAGTAAATGGCCCAAAACCCCAGGCCATATTGGCTTCTTACGTGACTTGTTCAGCAGCTGAGTGCCTCCCCTTGCCACCACCCTTCTCCCTTCACCTTGTGAGCCAAGACACCACTTTTCCTCTTGGTTCCTTCACTAAACTTCCATGTGTGTGTGTGTTCTAGCCTTATAGACACTTGAGAGCAACATTGGTGTGGGTTAAAAACCAGTTCTTGAGAGGGTGAGCTTCTGAGTTATGGCTTTAGGGGCTGTGTTTCTGAGTTTATGTTGAGAGAACCATTCCCTTAACCTTTGAAGCTTCAAGAAGCTATTTTGAGTGATGAAGGACTAAGCTTGTGGTGCATTTTCGTGACTTTGCAAAGTCAGAATCTTGGTGCTGTGTTGGGGGCTTCAAATCTGTTCCTCTTTCTGAATTCTCAAACCTTGAGGTATACCATGATCACCACCTTTGAACATTCATGATTTTAATTTGATTAAACCATTAAAAAGGGAAACTTTGATCATTCAAGTTAAAGATTGATGAACCATGTTTAAAATGTATAAATGGACTTCTGTTTATGGAGTTATTGGACTCCCAATCGCATTTTGACGCGTAAAAATGGAATTATGCAGTGAACTGCTCGAGTTTCTGCATTCTGTCTGATAAGTATTCGAATAATCATCAGCAGGTAGTCGAATACTTTTGAAGGAGTATTGGAATACTTTTCTGGAAAGAAAAGTATTCGGATACCTTAGTGTTTGTATTCGAATACTGTATAGTATTCGAAAATTTGTGGTAAAAGTATTCAGATACCAGGTGGTATTCGAATACCTTAGTGAAAGTATTCAGATACTTTATGGAGACATGGAGTATTCGGATACTCATCGAGGAGTATTTGAGTACCTCCTGCAGAATTAGCCTAAAATCACTGAAAACAAGTTGGAGAGTCTTAAACACTTAATGGAGCCTTAGGCTAATTATATTAATGATTGTTTATGGTATAAACAAACCTTAAGGGTGCTGTTTGTGGACCTTGGACTGTTGTGGACTCTTGATTGGATTGTTAGCTTGAGAGGTAAGCTTCTGGCCTTCAGATTGATCTATTGCTTGTTTCACTGACTTCCATGGGAGGGTGATTTATATGCATGTATGTTTTTATGAAAGATAAAATATGCACTGATATATGCCTGCGATATGTTAATTCAACTTTTGATGTAATGTATGAATGTGATGTTGATTACTTACACGATCAGGCTGCGACCTTGGTGTGTAAGGCATAAGGTTGCGACCCTTATGTTTAGATAGGTCGCATACGTGCATAAACTCTATCATGTTCCTTAGCCAGTCGAATCGCATTTGCATACATCACATGATTAATGAGTTGTAGTTTTTGGCTCGTTGAGCAAGAGATGTGTTGTCATGATTTAAATGCCTTAATATGAACATGCATTGTAATTACTGTTTTCGAACTTATATTTATACTTGTAAGTGAGCTTGGGGTGGAAGAGTCCTTGAGGACCCCTTGTCTTACTAAGATTTTGTTTTAGAGATCTCACCCCACGTTTGGGGCACATTTTCAGGTCCAGGTACCTCCAAGGTTGTGACCTCGAGCGGCAGGAGGCCGGAGCTGAGCTGATTAGCACATGCTTGATGATTTAGTTACTTTATCTGATTATGTCTGATTCTTCTGCTATGACTATTGTATTGAGACTCGATGAGTATACTGTTTAATTGGTGAGCATGAGGGTTGTCCATACAACATTGACTTGACTATGTTTATTTAGACTTGAGTTGTATAATTGTATCAGGATATTGTCTGGTCTATGTGTTTTAGTTCTGTGACTAGATACACATCTATATTTAGAAGGTTATTCAGTGTAGTTAGCTTTTATTGCAATTTACATACATGCAATGTTTTGAAAAAGAATTTAATAATGAGCTTGGTTAATAATAATGACGTTATAATTAAAATGAAAAAGTTAGCTTCCGTATTTAATTGAGCTGCGCTTAATATCGTATCATGATAACAAACCGGGTATACTCGGGGTATTACAGAGCTCACAAGAGAGGCTAGCAAGTGCCTTATATTCAGTCTATGAGGAAGAACAACTTATAGAAGACTACTTCTTGGACTTCCACGCAACCAAGGCAGACCCAACGAAGATGCAAATTTCGATGATAAATTTATGCGTATCTGGGCATGTAGCCTAGTTCGAATCAACGAAAGCTTGAACACGAAGATCATTAGTGGCTGGCTAGCTGCAAAGAACAAACTAGTACCAGGGGCACCTTTCAAGTATCAGAGAATGTGCTTTGCTGCACTACAATGACCATAAGTTGGTGAAAAACATATTGGCTCAAATGATGGACCGTACATTATATGTCTGGCCGGGTGATGGTGACATAAAGTAGACTACCAATTAATTGCCGATAAGGAGAAGGATCAATGGGGCCGGGGGAGGGAGTGCCTTGCGAAGAACTAAGCTTGGCAATGGTGTCCATAGGGGTAGTGATTGGCTTGCATGCGAGGAGTCTCAAATCAAAAACAATCTCCAACGCATATTTGCATTGGTTGAGAATAATGCCACGTGAAGAGCGAGATACCTCTAAGACAAGAAAATAACGAAAATCACCCATGTCTTTGATACGAAAAGAGGCATCTAAGAGACGTTTAACATGAGAGATTTAAAATAGGTCATTACGACAACGAACAATATCGTCCATATATACAAGTAAAATGGTGAACGCAGATTGCTTTTGTAATGTTAATACAGAAATGATCAGCATGAGCCTGCTGATAGCCAAGCAAAAGTAGAAATAACGATATGTGGGATAAGGGGAAAACAAGATGAGAATACACTTTTAGATACACAAAGTTAAAAATAATCTATATCATTCTTTTAGTCTATATAATTCATCCTACTATTTAGTGGGGAAATTCTTATTTACTCTAACTCTATGAAAACATAACGTGTGTGGCACTACATAATTATAAATATTATTAACTTACAAATAATATAATTAAATTATATATGAAAACCACTTAGAGTATCAGTCTAAAAGTACATATAATATAATATTTACCAAAAAAAAAAAGTACATATAATATTTTTTTTTTCTTTTTTGTGTGTAAAAATTATGATTCTATTTCAATATGATAATAGTTATGACAAATAATGTAGGGACATAAATTTACACATGCATCACCTCATATTTATAAAATTTCTACCATACCCTTGGCCCCATAAATTTTCTATCCTTATACTCTAACGCTACCATCTCATATTGATGTAATGAAATAGGGGATTATGTCTCTCATGTAATAGGAGACAAATTCTCTCATGTTGAAAGGTAAACAAAGTGGAGTCTACCAATTTTTTTTTTAATGTGAGTGTGATATGAGAGAACAATTTCATGTTACATGAGAATATGATTTCCTAATGTAATATTCACCAAGATCTCAAAGAAACATTTTTCTTTTTGGGTTATAGAATAAAAATAAAAATAATAGGGCCTAAAACAATTCTTTCGGACTGGACTAGCCTGCCAATACAATCTCTATAAAATCAAAAAAGAGATGACCGACCCAATAAATTATTCGGGTCTAAAGGAGGAGCCCACCCAGTTTTAACTTTAATCCAAAGCTCTCTCCTCCCGCTAAAACTAACGCCCACTCGCACGTGCCACACGTACCTCCTTCCACCCATCCCACACCACAGACTCTTTCCTGCACGTGGTTTTGCGCAACAATCACACCACCCCGTTCACTGTTTTTCACTATTCCATTTTCATACTAAAACTAAACCCAAATGCTATCACTGACCCGAATGCTCCGATCCAAACCCGATTAAGAATTGCTTTTATCGTTTTCGCATTTTCATTACACACCATGATCTGATACATTTATATATACACATTGTCGGTTACGGTTCTGTTGTGAGCTGTTGTTCGTCGGAGACACTCTTTTCGAAGATTTTGGTTCGGCATTTTCCCGAAGCTAGATCCGAACGAAGGAACGAAGCTTAGGTATGGAGTCGATCCTGGCAAGAGCTCTAGAGTATACTCTCAAGTACTGGCTCAAATCATTCACCAGAGACCAGTTCAAATTGCAGGGTCGCACCGTTCAGCTCTCCAATTTAGGTCAATTCTCTATTTCAATCCTTTTTTTTTTCTTTTTGAATTTTATAATTAATTGGTTGATTTTGAATTTTGCTTGTTCAGATTTAAACGGGGATGCATTGCATTCCAGCGTTGGATTGCCACCCGCGCTCAATGTCACCACTGCCAAAGTTGGCAAATTGGAGATCATGGTTTGTCAATTGTCACTCTCACTGTTTTGGTTCTTGTTTCTCTTTAGTTCATGAGAATCACGAGTGAAATGGGTAGAAGAAAGTTGTAGCCTTTAGTGCCCAATCAAATTAGATATAATGTTCTAATTGTTTGATCCATAAATTAGATGTATTTCTAATTTTTCATATCTAGGTATTTACCAATTTCTTTTTCTTTTTTTGAGGGAAATATTTGTATTTTCCTTTTCTTTTTTTATTTTAGTGTGTTTTATTTTCACTTGATATGCTTTCATTTATAATTGAACTATGCCACCTAGTTTTCAGCATTTCCTTCACGAAATCATTAGGAAACAAAATAAAAATAAGGTGACATTCTTGTAAATTACTGTGAAGACATATCAGTTGGAAACGAAAACATAAAACAAAGCAAAGACATCTCCTTATATAGTCGCGTTTTGTCTTTTGCTTCTTTATTTTAATAATTTTTTAAATGAGTTTTTGTGGTTTTTGATTGAGTCCAATGTGTGTGACTTTCTAGCTGCCGTCAGTGAGCAATGTACAGATAGAGCCAATCATTGTGCAAATTGATAGGCTCGATTTAGTTCTTGAGGAGAATTCTGATTTTGACACTTCTGAAAATCATACCAGGTAGTGAAATTAGTCTCCTGCTGATTATTATGTGTGAGGAGTCTTGTTGTAGAGTGATGCTTTTGCTGTTAGCTATTACGTATTTTTCTTGTTTCTTACACTGTTGTATGCAGTTCAACGCCATCAAGTGCCTCTGCCAAGGGTAGCGGGTATGGTTTTGCTGATAAGGTTTGAATCTGTCATTTCTAAGATATGTATTAGTAAGTGATATTTATATTTTATTAACCATTCCATGCTTGTAGCAAAATTTCGCAATTGAAAGAGGGGAAAAAGAAAAGCAAAAACTCTTTGTAATAAAGTCGGGGGATTTGAATTATCCACTTCAAGCCTTTATGGGACTTGTAATTTTTTTTTTTCCCTTTTCCTTCCAATGAAGTTGTTGCCAGTTGTGTTGAAGAGAATTTCAAGTAACATAAAAATAAATAAGTAGGTGGAGATAATTTCCTCGCTATAGGGAGAGGTTAGTATTTATTCAACAACTATAGAGAAGAATAGGATAAGGATGGGTAGTTCCTAGCAAACACCCGTAACTTTATCCATGGATATAGATATTTAATTTTGAATGTTACTCATTTCTACTGACTGTGGGCAACGTTCAGATTGCAGATGGAATGACTATTCAGATTCATACAGTTAATCTATTACTTGAAACTCGTGGAAGTTCTGGTCGTCAAGGGGGAGCAACATGGTAAGTTCTTCTTACCAGTGTTCTGAATTGGGTATCTTAAGTTTATTGATGCTTTACAATCACTGTCAATTGTTGTGGATCTTAATAAGTTGAAAACTGATACTACTATATTAGCATCTCGTTCTCTTCTTGGGTTGATGCATTGTTTAAACTGCATTTTTTAAAGGAGTTCAGATAATATGGGTGGGTTCTATGGGATACCTTTTAGCATGATGCAATTGTTTAAACTGCATTTTTTAAAGGAGTTCAGATATTATGGGTGGGTTCTATGGGATACCTTTTAGCATAAACCTGATGAAGTATACTTCCTCTTTGACTCAAAGACCATATAATTTTCCCTGAATTCTATTTATAAGCATCTCCATTCCATGCCTCTGGTTGTAGGGCACCACCTATGGCTTCTATCACCATGCGCAACCTTCTGCTGTATACTACAAATGAAAGCTGGCAGGTAATTATGTTGAGAATCATTCTTACAATAAATACCTGGATATTTCTTGCGTATGAAGTTTTCTTAATTTTTTTTTTTTTTGTATATATATCAGGTTGTAAATCTTAAGGAGGCTCGTGAATTCTCCAGTAATAAGAAGTATATATATGTCTTCAAAGTATTATACCACTTTTCATTTTATATTCTTATGTGTGTATGTGACCTGTATTGGGATGATTTGCCTGTCTTCATATTGCTCTTCTATATTGTCTCATGAGGATGCTATGTTACTTATATTTCTATTACCACATAATAATTCTTAATTTTTTCCTTCTCTCTTCAGAAACTGGAATGGGAATCTTTGTCTATTGATCTTTTGCCTCACCCTGACATGTTCACGGATGCTACTTTAGGACGTTCTCAAGTGGGAGCAAACCTGAGAGATGATGATGGTGCAAAGCGAGTATTCTTTGGAGGCGAGCGTTTTATAGAAGGAATATCAGGAGAAGCTTATGTAATCAATATATTTCCTCAAATTTGTTGTATAAATATTCTGTTTTCTTCTAGAATTTTATATGTCAGGATGCATGCAATATGGCTTGACTTTTATATTTACCAGATCACAGTTCAGAGAACTGAATTGAACAGTCCACTTGGGCTTGAGGTTCAGTTACATGTCACCGAAGCTGTTTGCCCTGCATTAAGTGAGCCAGGTAAGTAAAAGGAGACTTGTTAGGCTTCTACTATCCATATTGAATTGGTATAAAAGGCTCGGATATAACGTGGGATTGATATAACATATGAGCAGGACTGCGTGCACTTCTCCGCTTTATGACAGGATTATTTGTCTGCCTAAACAGGGGAGATGTAGATTTCAAGGCTCAGCAGGTTTCATACTGCCTTAATGTTTCCCTCCTTTGGGCAAAACATTTTTCATCAGTTTTCTATGGACAAAACTTAGAGGGAGAGACTAGAGCAGTGATATAGCTGTTCCTTTGTGACTGAAAGGTCACGGCTTCGAATCTAGAAAACAGCCTCGTTGCATTTATGCAAGGGTAAGGCTGTGTACAAGGATTACCCTCACCCCACCCTTGGAAGTCGGGATTTAATGGGGAGTGGTTTTCTATGGACAAAACTCTAGCATCGTTCTAGCTTTCTGAGTTTTCTGTTTTTCGATTAATCATGACAGCGATCAACTGAAGCTGCTGGGCGTTCTCTTGTCTCAATTGTTGTGGACCATATATTTCTTTGCATTAAAGATTCTGGTGTGTCTTTAGCCTTAATTTTTCTTTAGATGATTTAATTCTCCATTAATTATTATTAAATATCATAGAGCTAATAGTTTTATGTGTATGCATACCGTGAAAATTGATCCTATAATTGGCATTAACTTGCAGAGTTCCAGCTTGAGCTTTTAATGCAGTCCCTCTTCTTTTCTCGGGTAATTTTCCTTGATGTATTCTTGTTTGTTTCTTTCTTCATGCACTTATTCTTCTTTTTCTTTTTTCTTTTTGGATGTGGCCGCATTACTTGTTGGAATTATAGGTTTTTGATTAGCTTGGAAAAGAGGAAAGAGAGGAAGGAGGTTCTGAATAACTTGATATGATATATATTAAAGTACAATGCACTGACACCTATTTATACTTAGAATTAGGCTCAGTACTAGTGTAGTTCAACTAGCACAACCCCAGCACCCGAATAAAATAAAACTCCTAACCCTAATTAAACAAGGAACATACTAAAATTAGGAAGCAACCCTTGAATTAGATAACTAATTGATTGCGCACAATATATTCTAATGATCTTCTGAGAATTTTGTTGATACACTTCAATATTGGTGCTGCCTTAGTCTTATATCCAACAGGTAGAATAGAATCGTTTATATCTTGTTCTGCTTAATGTGCCAATATATATATATATATAGATATATATATATATATATATATATATATATATATATATATATATATATAGAGGTAGGATCCTTTGACACCAGTGTCAAATTTGAAATTTGACACCTCATCTGAAAGCCATTAGATCAAAAAAGATCAATGGTGTCACATACTTACAAATCAGAGTCGTTGATCTTTTTTGATCTAGTGATTATCAGATTTGACACCTCATCTGAGGATCCTACCTCATATATATATATATATATATATATATATATATATAACTTTGGAAGTCCGTTGGGCCTTTGGGCAACAAGATAGGAGATAACCATAGCTAATACCTATGGGATTCTGTGTTACATGTTTACTATTGATATGAATGATTCAGAAATAACAGGAAACGGACATAAATTTGTAAATAGCACATTTATTGGGTCTATGTGAATTTGGCATGATAAGCTTAATTCTTTAGTTATCGGCTAAGTATTCATAAAAATCAAGTGATGGAAAGCTCCTTATACTGTTTATTTCCTTTGATGATTTATGCTATTGCTATGTGTATTCTGCATTTGCTGATTCATAAATGCCAAATGCCACCGACAAACATGCACATCTTGTCCTCTCTTCAATGTCATGTTGCCATGCTTGTATTTCCTTTGCTGTGCCATGTTATCAGGTTTCCAGTGTGGAAGAATTACTGTTTGATAGATTATCCGTGCAGGCCAGTCTTTCTGAAGGAGATAATGACAGTAACTTGACCAGGATTACAATTGCAGGATTATTTTTGAGGTTAGTGTCATTGTGCTCTGCCTAATAAGTATGATTGAAAGGATTAAGTAGTCTGTTTATGCTTGCTTTATTGGGTGACCCAAATTGGGTGCCACTGTGCCAGTGCTGGTGTCTGTATCACTGTATATCCGTGCTCATATAACATGAATTAAGACTGAGAACTGACTAATCTGAAAATATTGGCAATAGGGTGTGACCTACATAGCACCACTACTTTATTGATTAGATATCCTAGGTTGACTCTTGAGCAGCTAATGCAATTTAAAAGGAAAAAAAAAGGAAGAGAAAGAGCCTCTATTCCTCTAATATTTGTAAGGTTGATTATTTTGATAGTTGTTGATAGTTATGATGATGCAGTCATTTTTCGGAGTTGACTGTAGGAATTGTTATTATGTAACTAAATTGTAGTTTGTGTTTCTTGAAATACAGGGATACCTTTTCACGCCCTCCATGTACCTTAGTGCAGCCATCAATGCAATCTGTCACAAGAGATGCTTTCCCAGCGCCAGAATTTGGTATTAAGTTTATGAATTTAATTTTGATCCACTGATAAGTGTAAACTTTATTACGCTATCATCGACTTTTACATGTAGCTTTATGAGAAATTTTTGACTATGATAATAAGTACATATTGTCTAAGAAGTCAAATTCTTTTAATGACACTTGAACACATGATTGTATTGTAACTTTAAAAGTTTAACACTAACACTGGATCAAAAATTAACTCTTCAAGTTATTAGCTCATATTCTTGGGAAGAATCTATTTAGCAATGAATATGTAGTTTGTTTAATTAAATATTTCTAATCCTTTCTTCTGGCAGCTAGAAGCTTTTGCCCTCCAATATATCCTCTAGGAGAACAGAAGTGGCAATTGATTGTGGGAACTCCTCTAATATGCCTCCATTCCCTTCAGATAGTACCTTCACCACTTCCACCATCCCTTGCTTCTCAAACGGTTATTGATTGTCAGCCTCTTATGGTATGTGAAAGTTCTTTCAATAAATGGCCTGCTAGTGCATCTATTTAAATTCTTGTTTCCAATTATGTTTTTGATGATATTTCTTTATATTCCAGGTTCATCTTCAGGAAGAATCCTGCCTGAGGATATCATCTTTCTTAGCTGATGGTATTGTTGTCAATCCTGGTGTCATTTTACCGGATTTCTCAGTAAAATCTTTTATTTTCACTCTCAAGGGACTGGACCTTACAGTTCCTTTGGATAAGACCCAATCGGATATTTCTAAAAGCAATATGGACAATACAGTCAAGACCTGCTTTGCTGGAGCAAGGCTTCATATTGAGAACCTTTTCTTTTTAGATTCACCCTCGATGAAACTAAGAATACTGAACCTGGAGAAGGATCCAGCTTGCTTCTGTCTATGGGAAGATCAACCAATTGATGCTAGCCAGAAGAAGTGGACTGCCAGAGCATCCCAGCTTACTTTATCTCTGGAAGCAACTACTGGCATTCTTGGACATCAGAATTCTCTTGGATGGACTGCTGGATTGTGGAGATGTGTTGACTTAAAAGATCTTTGCATTGAAGTAGCTATGGCAACTGCTGATGGCAGTCCATTGTTAAAGGTTCCGCCTCCAGGGGGTATTGTGAGGGTTGGTATTGCTTGTGAACAGTATCTTTCCAATACTTCTGTTGAACAATTATTTTTTGTCCTTGATTTTTATGCTTATTTTGGGAGAGTTGGTGAGAGAATAGCAATAGCTGGAAAACAAAAACAATTGAAGGACGTTAGGAACAAATCTTTTAGTGGAAAGCTGATGGACAAGGTTCCTAGTGACACTGCTGTAAGTTTAGCAGTAAAAGACCTCCAACTTCGATTTCTTGAGTCTTCAGTGAATGTTGACGGAATGCCTCTAGTACAGTTTATCGGAGATGATTTGTTCATTAGTGTCACTCATAGAACCCTTGGTGGTGCTATTTTTGTTTCATCCACTTTACGTTGGGAAGGTGTTGAGATAGATTGTGTGGATTCTGAAGAGCACTTGGCATGTGAAAATGGCTCACTTTTTAGTTCTGAAGAAAATGTTCTCTCGATGAGTGATAATGGATACCCTCAACTGAGAGCTGTTTTCTGGGTGCATAACAAGAAGAACCATTTATTGAATGGAAATGCTCATTCAGTCCCGTTTCTGGATGTAAGTACAGTGCATGTCATGCCATTTTGTGAAGTAGACATGGAGTCACATAGTTTGAATGTCTCAGCTTCTGTATCTGGTGTTCGTCTTGGTGGGGGTATGAACTATGCTGAAGCCCTCCTGCATCGATTTGGAATACTTGGGCCTGATGATGGTCCTGGGAAGGGTCTTTCTAAAGGGTTGGAAAACTTACAAACAGGACCGTTGGCAAAACTCTTTAAGACAACACCTCTCATTGTTGATAATTCAGAAGATGGTATGAAACAGTTTCATCTCATTTTCTGTAGCTGGTGTATTTTCTTGATATATAGTAAATTTTTGCTCTTTGTTTAATTTGTTACTTTTAAGTATCGGTTTCTTACTAACCATTTTTACACCAGTCGAAAGTATGAGAGAAGGGAAAGAAGGTTTTCCACAGTTGAAGAAGCCAGATAATGTGGATGTAACTATAGAATTGAGAGACTGGTTATTTGCTCTTGAAGGTGCACAAGAGATGGCTGAAGGATGGTGGTTCTCCAGCCAAGAAGATTTAGGCAGAGAAAAGAGGTGTTGGCACACAACTTTTCGCACTTTACAACTAAATGCAAAAAGTAGCCCAAAGAATATTCCAGATGGAAAAGCACAATTGCCTCGAATACAACAATATCCTGTAGAACTGGTTACGGTAAACAAATTCTTATTTCTTCTTTCTTCAAGATTTAATGCAGTTTGTCTGTGTAAATTGCTGCACCACTCTAATCGGGAATTAAGGAATTTCGTACTGCTTTGAAGAATGAAGTTAGGTTTATTTGTTGACACTAGAGAATAAGGAGAAACACAAAATCATAATTTATTTAAAATATAGTTTGGCATTTGTTAGGAAGGGTCCTATTATGCAGAAGTACAAGAGGAGGCGCTATAGGGAATTTATCCCTTAATTAGTTGTGGAATTTTGTCTCTTCACTTCTCCACTAACCATCCCACAACTAATTAAGGGATAAATTCCCTATAGGGCTCCCTCTTGTACACCTGCATCGTAGGAGCCTTCCTAACAGCACTCTATCAGGCGTTATATATAATAGAAAATTTCCATTTCTGTCATCCATGATATGAGTGGTCCAGTGTACATCGGGAAACCTAGCAAACTAATTTGCAAATTACAATCTATGTCTTTCATCGGTCAGAAACTACTAAAATCAGGTCAGAAAGGACAATAGATCTTCTTCATCTCTCTCTCTATTTTTTTTAATAAGTATTATTATTAATTTTTGTTGGTTTGTTTGTTACTGAAATGGATCATTAGACCTGCTACACATTTTTCCATTGACTGACTAGCAACTACTGCTACGTTGAAACATGAATAACTCATTGTCAAAACTAACACATCTCTTTAAAGACATACCTTGGCTCATGCTTTTTAATAAATACTATATAAAGTTTTATTAGTTTTTCGTGATTAAAGCTGATCAATTTTCAATATATCTCTTGTTTATTTTGTTCCTTATTTGTAACTATAATTTTTTATTCATTAATTAATAACAATCATATGATGATTTTGTTAGCTTTAGAAAGTAGCTGCCTAGCTGGTAATTATATTTTTTGTGAAATGCATACACATCAACTTCAAATGTATGATGAATTTATCCCATATGAAAGAATAAAAGAACTAATTGGTTAAGTTTGCATTCCGTAGTTTTGATCTGATTTATAGAAATAGGTTGTTTCATAAAACTCTTGGTTAATATTAGTTTTAAATCGGGTCTTTAGTGAAGTGTCCAGAGGAGGTCTGAAGTAACTTTCTTGCAGCCCAAGTAGGATTCCATTCTTAATTTTTAATGTGATCTATATCTCAATGGAGTATCAGGTAGGTTAGCCTTACACATCCTTTGGTTTTTTTTTTTTTTTTGGGAAATATTCCATCGGTTCGTTGCTTGGCTGTTTGAATGTATGGATATTTGTTAATTGTATGATGTCAAAGTCAGTAGGGACAGGCTTTTTGTTAGTCAGATTCAGTGGCCCAATATAATGAACTAAATACAGTAAATGCATGCTTACAATTACACTGTAAATGTTATATATTAGCTGAAAATCAGATTTTTATTAATTTTTATGTGTATGTTCTTATTTTTGTATCTTACCTGTTTTTAAGACATGTTTCCTCCTCCTATATTGAGCCAGCACTTGCAGGTTGGTGTTCAAGGGCTGCGGATCTTGAAGCCCCATACCCAAAATGACATTCCTTCGTCAATGTTAAATGCAAATGGAGTTAAAGAATTTGCTGATACTTTGGAGGGAATTGATCTTGAAGTGGGCTTCATATTATGTGAGGATAATGTTGATGATGAAATGGCCAATTGGGAAGTGGAAAACCTAAAAGTTTCTATAAAGCAACCGGTAATGGGAATTTCATATTTAATCAATGTGGTCACTGTCTCTCTTTAAAGGAAGATTGTGTGTAATGAAGATTTTACCATGCAGATTGAGGTTATTGTAACCAAGGATGAGGTCCAACACCTTACTTTTCTGTTGAAATCTGAAATTGATTCCATGGGCCGGATAACAGCTGGAATTCTACGGCTGCTTAAGTTAGAAGGTTCTGTTGGCCAGTCTGTAATGGATCAGCTAGGCAGCCTAGGTATGCGGTCAAATTTTCTTATGCATCTAATGCATTTTATTAGCAATAAATTCTTATTCTTTCATATATTAGTGATTATTTAGCCTTACATAAAGTTACTAAGTCAGGAAGTGTCATCACTCGGCCTTACTTAAAGTTAGTAAGTGCTGTCATTGTTATATCTTAAGAAAACTGCATTTTGATGTAGGGAAGATGATGGATTTGAGATTTCAAGTCTATCATTCTTGATTGGCAATGAATGGTTGGTGTATAGATCATTGAAGAGAGGAAGTGCTTAAGAACAGTAGCCAAAAGGATTCTATTTGTGTTATTATTTTCAGAAGTTAAAATTTTTAGGAAATTGATAATAAACTTCAGAACAAGGTGTCTGGATAGAATTCAAATGGTTGGTAATTTGTTGTATACCTCAGCAGGCTGTCATATATGATACTTAAAATAGTATGTATAAGCCGGAAAATTGACACATAACGGAAAGTCTTGAAGTTGAAGACTTAATCGATTGTCGCTTGAATAAACTACTGAACATGGGGAAATTTAGACTACAATAAATTTTCAATTGGTAGATAGACCAGGACAATAATGATATATGCGCTACTAATTGTTTGGTGTTTTTTGTAAATTGGACAATAATCTACTAGTTGTTTCAACAGATATATAACATGGGGGATCTTTTAATTGGATAGATCAATAACAAGAAGAAAAACCTAGCTGCAACATTGAAATTGCATGACTCGAGTATATTAATTCAGAAGTTGCTTGAAAGATGCCTCCTTTTATCTATATATCTATCCCATTTTGCACCTCCACCTCCTGAGATTGGTCCAAGATCAGCTTAGACTATTAGCCCTCCTTAAACCTATAGCTTTGGTTCATTTTGTTGCTATTAATCCTTTGCCTGTATGCATTCATGCTTATTGTTCCTAAAATTTCAAAAGGTTGGCTGGGCTGATCCACTCATTTATACCGTCTGCCATCATTCTTTAATATGTTATGATGATTTGCAGGGAGTGAAGGCATTGACAAGATTTTCTCTCCTGAGAAGCTCAGCTTAGATGGTAGTGTTCGTAGTAGAGGACTTTCTCCATTACCAAACCTGATAAACGAAAGCCCACGCAAAACTATGGAACCAACAATAACTTCGCTTGAGGAAGAAGTTGTGGATTCACGGGCTAAGATTAATGATTTGATAACTGAAATTGGTACTTGTGAGTCTTCCTCTCACCACCTTACTGTTGTTAAACAACTCAGTGAAAAGATGGAGTCGATGCAAGGTTTGTTGATGCAATTACGGAATCAACTTTAAGTCCTTCGTGTCATTTTTGTATATAATTAGAATTAAATTTTTTAATTCACATTGGTTACAATTCTTTTGTATATAGCATAAAGGTCCATATGTTGAGTGTTATACAAGTTAGGCAGAAATTCAGGCTCTCCATTTGTGTAACAGAAAATTTTGTACCCTTTAAGCGTCGTGGAATGTGAGAAAAGAATGCAATGTAAAGTGTTGGGTTCTAACAGTTGACAGTTTAATCTCAGAAAGGAAAAAGAAATTAAAAAAATAAATAAATCCAAATTTCCAAATATAACACGGGGACATTATAATTATGATGACTGGTCTTTCGGGAACATTTTAGTCAATTTTACATATTTAAGTAACTATAGTAGCATTATAGTGTACTAATAATCACAAGCACTCAAACGAATTTAATCTAAGTTTCCTCTTATAAAAAGGTTGAATTTTTTTTTTTTTGGTGGATGTAAAAAGGTTGAATTTAATCCACTCGTTTTCAGGCAATATTTAACTTTTTTGAATAACCATCACTAGTATTTTGTTTCTCTTGCAAAAGGAAAATGTTAGATGATTAATTATTTTTTCTCAGAATTTTTTATAAAATAAATTGACTTATTTATTAACTCTTCAAAAATGACTTGGAATCAAATAAGGATAATTCTACTGGGCACAACACTAAACAAAATTATGGAAGTATAAAATTCCTTTAGACAATTTAATCATTTAATAAATATTAAATTTTGAATAATGTTGCTCATATCAAGGTTTTTAGAGAAATTAAAAAGCAAAAATAATAACATATTGTCTAACTTTTTATTTTAAATTTGCATTTCAAGTTGCTATATATAAGTTTTGATTTTCAGAGTTAGTATCATACTATACACGATATGTATCGTGCAATACAATAGAAAAGCTGAGCTATATGAATCGACAATCTATATGGCAATTAGCCATTCGAAATTAGGCCTAAAATTTGTGATTTCAAGTCGGAAATGGAAATAACAATTTGATTTGTTATTCAAATTCAAAAACAAATCTGGAAAGTCACTATTAATTAAAGAAACAAATACGTTAACAACACAATAATGCGGACAAGAATGATAAAAGCAAAAACATCTTATATTCTAAGACAAACCCATTCTTTGGCAACCCCGCTGACGTGTCACTTCCTTCTTTAATTTCAGATTTGCGTTCACACTACAAAAATTTAAAAAGTTTCCTTCTTTGGTAAATCAGGGAATAAAAAAAATATAATTTTTAATCCAAATCGATGGACACGATTTCGTATCTCAAATCAATGGTACAGATTTGTTATCAATTGTATTGGCAGACAACTCATCTTAATTTGAATTTTGGAGTTCAAAATTTAAATTTGATTTTAAAAATCTGACAACTCATTTAATGTTCAGCTACTTTCTCCATTGGAATTGCTAAACATTTAAAAAAATATACAAGGCTTCTCATTGTTCTATGCGATTGCAAAAACACAGCCTTTTTCTTTCTTTTGTTCTTCGTCGTTTTTCCCCCCCACATTCCATATTATTCTATGCGATTGCAAAAACACAGCCATTTTATTGCTCCTGTTTGTTGTCGTTTTTTTTCCCCACACTTCATATCAGTTAAAACACAGCTTCAAAGAATCAGCTTCTTCGTTCTGTCTTTGATCGTCTAACCAATATGTTTTCAAAATATGATTTTCTGAAGGATGTCAGTCCTGCCGAGGAGGACTGGAGGATTAAGGTGAAGGTGGTTCGGGCTTGGAAAGTTCCTAACTTTCAACGTAGAGAATTTGACGACAACATTGAAATGGTTTTATTGGATGAACAGGTAGTTGTTAGCGTTTTTTAAATCTTGGTTCTTGCGTTTTTTAAATCTTCCATTTTTTGTGAGTTGGCTGTGTTTTTTTGTAAGGTGGTAGGATCCATGCCACTGTCAAAGGTTATTTGCCGGTGCGGAAGAAAATCCATGAAGGAGACTGCTATTTTATAAAAAAATTTGGAGTTGGATTCAATAGCGATGTGTTCAAGCCAACCAGGCATCAATATCATTTGTCTTTCAATTTGAGGACTGATCTTAGATCAATTGTTGATTCTAATATTTCTGCGAGTGAATTTGATTTTGTTGATTATGACATCATTGAGAAAGAAACATCTGACTCTCCTTATTTAGTGGGTAATATAATTTTCCTTACTGTTTTTCGTTTTTTAATTTTTGATTTTTGTTTACAAACTCTTTGCTGCTCTTTTTTTTTGTAGACATCATTGGTTTAATATCAGGAATTGGTGAAGTTTATGAACGTGTGGTTTCTGGTAGGAAGACGAAAATGATTGTGTTGGAGCTTGACAACCTGAGGTATTGTAAATTTTATATTTAAAAAGATTATTTTTTTCGACCTCTGTTTGATTATATTTTTCGCGTATTACAGTTGTTCTTGCTGCAACTCATATGAAGGGGTCACAAGCTGGAGTGCACTTTGTGGGAGCATTATGTGGATGAAATCCAATCTTTTATGACAACCAGCGACACTCCTCATCACGTCATGATAGTCCAGCTAGGCAGGATAAAATGTTTTAGGGGTATGATTTTAACAATCTTTTTTGACAAAACGTTATGCTTCTGTGTTCTGTTTAATTCACATTTTTTTTTGCTTTTCGGTTTTTATTTGATATGCTCAACTCGATAGGTAAGGTTGGGTTAACCAATACAAAATATACAACGAGGATTGTCATGGATTCGAATATCCCAGAGATCGTTGAGTTCAAAAAACGGTGTGTTTGTTATTCTTGAACTCATTTGACAATTTATTAAGTTAATCATTTACGGTGCATTAATTTTCTCTCTATAGTCTTTCGGCTGATGGTGTTGAAAGTAATCTGCGGATGACTCAGTTGTCTACTCAATCATCCTATTCTTATGAAAATGATTTTCTGAAGGAGACTGAAAAGAAGTCTATCAGTGATGTGAAGCTTTGTGGCGAGGTAAATATAGAATTTTTGTTTTTTCAATTTTCTTGAATTTTTTGAATAATATCAAGTCTGTATGAATGATGTGAATTGTTTGCCTGCGATTGCTATATTTAAGGTTACAACTTGCATCACGTATGGGACTATAAAATCTATTGAGAGCAAATACAACTGGTGGTACAAGTCTTGCAAAAAATGTCCATTTTCTGTTTGTGAGAATTTTGAGAAGTGGTACTGTAAGAACTGCCAAAAACATTGGGAAGATTACTATCCGAGGTATTGTTTTTAATCGGTTTGTAAATTGTCTTTAATCTGTAAGCTTAATATTTTTTTCTGATATACAATTTTGCAAAACGATAGATTTAGTGTTCAGGTAAGAGTTGTGGATAACACAGATTCTGCATCATTTCTTCTGTTTGATCGCTACTGTGTGTCTTTGTTGGGGATGAGTGCTGCTGAATTGCGCGAGTTGCATTTCAAGAGGGTTTGTATTATCGTTGCTATAAAATATTGATAATGTATATTTTGACGTAGAGTGCACTATGTTCGCGCTGTAGTTCTTTTTATTTTTATTTTCCATGTTTACTGGATGATCGTTTTTTTCTCTAGGGGTGCAGATTTGGATCAATTTCCAGAAGAGTTAAATGTTTTGAATGAGAAGTCCATGTTGTTCAAGCTAAATATCAAGCAAAAGGATTTGAACTCATACAGCGAACCCAAGTATCAAGTTTCTAAAATTTGTATCAGCAAAAACGTAATCTCAGCGTTCCTTAAGTCTCTTATCTCTGACATCGATCCAAATGTATGCTGCTTCTCTATTTCTGTTGGGTATCCATTTTTCTTATTCATTTTGTTGACTGTTGTTGGCTATTGTATATTACAGGATGAAGCAAATTTCGAGGATGCACGCGAAAATGAAATTGTATCATCAGAACCAGAAAAGGCTGCGTTAACCCAATATTTTATTTTATATTTTCATGTTATGCAAAAGTCGATACTTGACATACCTTTATTTTTCTTTTTACGAAATAATGAATAGGATGTTGAGAGTCAGACCTGTGATAGTGCTGACGTTGGTGATATCTCTATGATAATGTCGACACCAGTGATCCATTCTCATGATTCCATTGCTGGAGAATTCAATTTTTCAGCTGTTCTGACAGCCAAAAAAATAAAGCTTGAAAAAGAGTTACGTATTTTCAAATCTATATTTATAATTCAATCGTGTGGCATGTATATTTTTTTTTCTTTTCGTAATATAATGTGCAAACTACGTCATTTGCTGATATATTTTTTTCAATGCTGATTATTGTATTTTTTTCTTCCTTTTTTTAAAATAGATTTGACGCAGAAGCAGATGAGAATACCTCGTAGATTGGTGTACTGTGACTGAAGAGTGGTTTTTTTGTGTCTTGGAGACAATATGTTTACTGAAGAGTGGCTTTTTTGTTGGAGTTACATGTTGAACTGTTTACATCGTTTTCTTTATCGTGAGATTTATGAAATATTCAAAATATTTTGTGATGTTTTGCTGTGTTTAGTTCAGCCAATGATAACGCTTATGGAATGTATGTTGATATATTTGATAAACGCTGTGTTTTTGCAATGGAAACCTAAGCTGTTGATCTATGTCATGTTATGTGATATGTTGCTATGTTGAAATCCAAAAATTTCCTTTTTTGACAAATAAACACATCTTCTTGACATCTTGACGTTTATAAAATTTTTAAGTCATTATTGTTACAATAAGTAGCTTTAATTCAAATTTTTTCCCCATATATTTTAAATTTTAAGTTTGAATTTTTATTAACCTTTGTTCATTGCAATTCAAGAAATGTCTTTTTGAAAGAAAAAAAAAAGAACATTTCTAACTACTAAAAACAGATTAGGATACAATTTCAAATATATGTCTTTTTTTATCCTTTGTTCATTGTTAACCTTTGTTCATTGCAATTCAAGAATTATCTTTTTGATCCAAAAAAAAAGAACATTTCTAATTACTAAAAACAGATTACGATACAATTTCAAATATATATCTTTTTTTAACCTTTTTTTATGTTTCTTATTTTTAAAATTTAAATTTTTATTATCCTTAATTCAAGCAAGGACTGATAAAACAGAAATTATAATCTGACATTTTGGAGAGTTCAAATAACATATCTTAACAACTGATATCATATCATTTAACAACTGATAACATATCCTTAAATTTTATTGTTTCCTTTTTAATTTTCTTTTTCTTTCCACATTGTTTATTTTTTTAAAATAATAAAAATGGAATTTGGAACGACGGTGTATGAGTATCCTCATCTCTCATCAAAACGCTGCACCTAATATAGCCTACAATCAGCGTATTAATTCACGACCATCTCAGGTTTAATGACCGTTTTGAATTTTGCAGAAAAAATGTTTTGGAAATCGATTAGTGTAATTAATCAATTAAAAGCTTAATTCAAATTAATCTCTCCTCAAAATGTTGCACGCTGCACTTATCCACGACGTTCCAAATTCCAGGCTTCCAGTTAACGTGTGCAGCCAATGAGTTGCAGACCATTTAAAATCGCGCGTCGTTCAAACATGACCAGCCGATGTCTACGTTAATCGTTTGCCTATGTATCGTTCTACGTCATTATAAAAATGCAGTCGTTTGTCTATTTTTTGTATTCATCTTATCTTCCGTGTATTTTTCATCCAAAGTTGTTCATCCTCAGATTGTTCCATGGCTGCTTCATCGTCACACAAGTGCATGAAAATGAAGATAACCGGTGTCCAGTCTCTGCAACATCTGCCGTCAGATGTGTTGCTGTTGATATTTGGAAATGTGGCGTCTCATTCAATTGAGGACATCACTAACGTCAAGATTGCTTGCACCGAATTTCTTCAACTTGCCAAATCAAATTATGTCTACGAGCGTGTTTCGTTGGATAAGTTTGCGCTGGGACCATTGGAGTGGGTTACAAATGCGAAGCCTTTTCCTTCACCGAGTTAGGGTCATGGGCAGTGAAGAAGAACAAGGTGAGGCGTACTACGACCCACTGCAAGTACACAAAAGGTTTCGACAAGTTCAGTTTTTGAAGCGATGTAGGGAGAGTGGCAATCCGGAGGTGTTGTATCGTGAGGGCTTGGTCAATTACTTTCGAGAAACATCGACTTCGGATATGCAAGCTTTGGCTCTTGAAGGCATTAGGACTGCAGCGCTGAAAGGTCATCAAGATGCCAAGTACGCATCATCCATCATATTGATGGCCAGTGTTGATGAAGATGAGAGGTCTGTGGGCTTTGAATTTTTTCGTGCGGTGGATAATGAGTGCCTTTTGAGGCACTGCAGACGACGTGTAAGACTTTTCATCAGGTCCTTATGGGTGCGCAGGGAGATGGTTTATCCCGGAATACCCATTTGCAATCCCCGCATATGTGAAACGCGATTCTCTGAGGATGACCCTTCCTCATCAGAGAACCATGAGATTAATAACATGCTTGGGAATAAGATCTGTCAATGTTGCAAGGCAGATTTTGAGATCTACTTATTTTGCATAATGACTATACTCTAATTTACTCTTGGTGGTGTTTGTAACACCCCGTTCTAGAACCGGATTGTTATCATTACGTACGGCATTAAGCGCAGTTACAATCACATTGGTTCAATTAAAAACTAGATAAATTTTTCCTTTTTAACAAGCCGGATTTAAATTAACCAAGTGCGTGATCATAACCATATATGCTTTGCGGAATAGTGGGACAAAACTTAGTCTTATGTTCCCATTTTATTCGACAATACGTCATTAAATGTCTTCATCTCTTCGATTATCAATTAATTCTACACTCCTTTTATGATTCCCATCTCCTACTATGTTATAGGATTTTTCATTATCTACGCGTAGGTTCAAACCGCGCCCAAATCGGAGCTCCGTAGCCCAAGTTATGAATTTTCAACGAAATGAGTGCTGAACCTACTGTTCTCGGCGCGATTAGCGTGAAACCGGCGCGATTAGCGTGAAACCGGCGCGATTAGCGTGGAGCAACAGAGGGTTTCCTTGTATTTGGCGCGATTAGCGCCAGAGTGGCGCGATTAGCGCAGGGAAATGTCTCCCTCTCTGTCCCTTGGCGCGGCTAGCGCCAACACGGCGCTAGTAGCGCCAGATTTCTGGGGACAACACCCAGCTTGAGTGTTTTAACCCTAACTAGAGTTGTACACCTCCAAATTACACAATCTTGGTCTCAATGGAAAGCTAAGAAAAGGATCTACCACTTCCATTAAGACACAAGGGTCCAAATCTATCATATAGGATACGAAAATTGGACAACAAGACGGGATATCATTACTTTTTACATGGGTTATCAATCCTACACATTTTACAACCTATTTAACAAGCTTGCGATATCCCTATACCATTGCTTAACTCCCATCCTCTCATCATTGATTTAACGGAAATTGGGCAGCATAACCTTTGTTTTCTCAACATTTCCCAATCTAACAGCTTGGCTCCTAATAGACAATTCAGCTCAACATTTCCAATATTCATCATGCATTCATAACCTTGAAGTAAATAGATTTAATACAAGTTTAAATACATAACGGGGAACTTAGCTACAAAAAAACGATGATTATCCCTTGGCTCTCATCAACAAAAGAGATATCCAATGGCATGATCATAGGCTAAGTCCATCAAATATAACGAGATATACATACGTCAATGCTATCAATGATCGATCCTATACATGTAAATCTACAAAACAACATGTATGATCTCAAAACATCATTTTCTTCATGCATGATCTACTGCAAATAAGGTCACTTGCCATCAGAGGCTCCTGCAGCTTCCTTACCTGAAAAGGGGTCCCCACAACACGGGGTGAGATATACGAATATATCCAGTAAACCAGGGGTCCTTGGAGCATCTCTCCACCCCACAGTTCCATATCAGTGTAATAGCAATAACAATAATAATGCAGTAAATACATATCTATGCAAAGTGCAATACATCTCCAGGAGAAATCCCTCGAGCTCTCAAGCTGTCCTAAGGAAACTCAGATGCAAATAGTCCTACTGGCCAGCTAACTACCAAGTATGATTTACGCATCGTCATGCAACATACCAACACAGGGAAACACCATCCTATGCCACACCAAATGCATACACATACATATAACAAAGCATTACACTATTTTATTGCATTTATATACACAATCACAACCTCTACCCTTTCAGGGCTTGGTAGAACAGTCAAGGGAATTACACCCAAGGTCCGAAGGCTTACCTCAATGCTTCAGTCGACCTTTGTTCTTCACCAACAGTTTCAGCAGCCAATTACAATAATCACTCTTTTCAAATAAAACCTACACAAGGTTTAATGCAATTAACACATATTGCATCCAATAACATCTCCTAGCTATCAACCAAGCTATCCAATTCATACCAAACCTAAGCATGAATTTACCTATTCCAATGAGCTAATCAAGCTCCATAACTTGCTCCAACGGTTGGTCACCCAATGTTGGTCCAATTGCCTCAATCCTAGACAACACCAAGGCTTAATCAACAACCAACCAAACCAAACCATTTATTAACAATGCAAGAAATCCAATATCTAAGTGTCATATTCTTGCCATTTTTCAAATATACTCATTTAGCTATCTAGGCTCATTTTCACCGATTAAATGTCGTTCCTAGAATTTTTCACAACATGCTCTAAGCTCCATTCTTCCTAGAACATAGCTAATTTTACAACATTTCATCAAAAACCCTAAAACACTATTCATAAACCCTAACTCATGCAATTTCAAGGAACCATGATGTTCAAGGGGTAGAATCTTACCACCAACGGTTGCACAACCAAGCAAGGAGCGTTCCTCAAGCTCCTATGGAAGTAGAAATTCCCAAAATCCCAAAATCTCACAAAGGGCCGAATTTTTGAGAGGCAATATCTCTCTCCACAATGCTCCCCACTCAAAACTGAGCTTAGATTATGAAAGAGGGGATGATTTAGAGTGGTTTAGGCTTTTGAATCACCCAAAACGGTTGGGATTTGCTCTTCCTCTCTCTTCCTCCCTCCTTTCCCTTCTTCTTCTTTCTCCTTCTTTGCTTCTGTTACTCGACGGGGGGTTGGGGAAATGGGGCTCTTTTTGGTGTCTTAGTCACTTAACATAGGTTAAGTGACTTTAAGCGGGTATTAGTTCGTCTATCTATTCAACTCCATTAATTACCAAACTTTACCCAAAAGTCTGGAATATCATTCTAGGAATATTTTCATTTTTATTTTTATATTTTGGGCACTTTTGACTGTACCCATTTATACCCCTTAATTTTCACTGAGTACACTTTTTAACTCAGAATTGACCCTATCTCACTTAATTAAGACTTATACTTAATTTTACTCACTAAAACATGCTTAATTATTTAATTACATGTAATTCGCTAACTAATTAGGTTAGGGCTATTATACATCGATTGGAGAGGGGAACGAAGCATGCCTTATATAAGGGCGTGGATACCTTTCCTTGTAGGAGGCCTTTTGGGGGTAACCCAAAACGTAAAACCGTGAGCTCGACGGTGCTTGTGCGCGAGGCAAAGCGGACAATATCCTGCTACAGGGTTTGAGGCTGTTACATTTGGTATCAGAGCCTGGCCCTGGACCGGTGTGTACAGCGGGGACGCTGTATTCCCAAGTGGGGGAGGATGTAATGTCCTACATCGGTTGGAGAGGGGAACGAAGCATGCCTTATATAAGGGTGTGGATACCTTTCCTTGTAGGAGGCCTTTTGGGGGTAACCCAAAACGTAAAACCGTGAGCTCGACGGTGCTTGTGCGCGGGGTAAAGCGGACAATATCCTGCTACAGGGTTTGAGGCTGTTACAGTGTTGGTTTAGGCTTTTTTTTATCTGTTTTAGTTATTTTATGTGTTGCATTTTGTAGTTTCTTATCTTTCAAGGTTCAGTTATTATGTGATGTCAACTTTTAAATTAATGATTGTTTACTGTTTTTTTCTTTTGGTTTGTGTTTTTTCATATACTGTAGAGTTTATTTCATTTACTTTCATGTCTGTAGAGGATGATTACATTATACAAAATTTCTTTTTGAAATAAAAGGCAAGCCCAACTTAAACTGATGGTTACAAAAAAAAAATAGCTCTTTGTTTGTTTAGGGTTGCAATATTTTACTCAGAACACTTCTCCACAGTCATCGTTTTCAACTTACAGTCACCGTTTTCAACTTCTCACTATCCCCAACATGCGATTTCGTTTATAGAGTAAATAATGTACAAGAGTTTATGCATTGGAACAATAAGAGTCATATTAGCAGACAATTTTTTTCCAATTTCGTATATAATTCAATTTCGAGTATTTGGCTATTAGAGTGCACCTTCATAATAAAAGGCCTGATTCCTAAATTAATTTGTCAAATCAGTATGACTGCACAATCCATTTCCAAGCAACAAAAAAATGTACAGAGCAATTATTATGACTACACAAACTGTTGGGGATTTTTTTAATTACTTACATCAATTATAATCAGTAATCCAAATTTTCATCTGTGTTGTTAAGTTTGTGATTTTGGACGCATTACAACTATGACTTAGTATGGCTGTTTGTTGGTTTAAAAAAGGTTTTGGTTGGTTTCCTATTTTGGTTCAACAAAGTTCACGGCAAATTTTAGTTTTTGGATTGTTTAATCCGCGTTGCAACAGACCAATGAAGGAGTATTGGATTGTATATAGCATTGCCATAAATGACTCCCATGTGCTTCATTCTTTGTATAAGCTGAGAGTAAATTAGAGTAAGAAGTATCATGTGCACTATACTCATTCTTGAATGCCAAAGGTCATGCATCAAGAAACTTCCCTGTCATCGAGTGAGCATCCCCAAGTGGGGAGTACATTATTGCCCATCGGTTTTGACACTAAAAAACAAAACCTGTGGCGCCAACAAATCAGCTTTCCCAATTTTTTTAAAAAATTTATGTGTCACGGCAAAAAAAAAGGAGAGAAGGAACGTTTCCCGCCAAGATAATATTAACTCATAATATTGTCTCTTCATATTCCAACTGCCTACACTCAGCTGAACTGTGGTTTCAGCATCCTCTTCTTGCAACAGTGAGCGAGTTAATCAAGCAACAGGAATCGTTAAATGTACGTTGTGAAGCATCTCATACGCAGGTATATAACGTTTCAATATCATCATGTCTAACGACGAAAATGAATTCAAAACACCTTCGAGGAAAAGAAAGAACCAAGGTCGCATTGAATCGAATCAGTTGACTGGTAACGACGATTTATGTTCTTGCGTTTGACAGTTATTTCTCATTGTACTATCTAATTCATTGAAATCATTGTTGTGTAGAAAATCTTTTGGGGTCTTCTCCCTCCCCCGTTGGCAGGTAATTTTAATTCGTCATAAATATTACTTGCCGTTAATGGAATTTGTATATTAATCTCAACACAATTTAGTTAATTTTGATATTGTTCCTTTTTTAAATATGTAGCATTTCTGAGGTAGGCAACATGAGGAATGACATAAGCTGCAACAAACAACGGCTATGTAATATTACAAATGGTCTGTTTCGTTGTTTCTTTCATCAACAAGTTTTTTAACGTTGTTTCTTAGCGTAATATAACACACGGTTATGATTATGATAAAATCGTATCTAATTCCTCCTTTCCACACATTATTAAATCGTTTCCTTTTAATGGTATGTAAATAAGCAATATTCCATAAACTTTGATTAGTTGTGTTCTTATATAATGGACTTTGTAAAAAAAAATTTTGTAGAAAATCTTTCTCCATTAACTGCGTCCACAATTGGCAGGTCAGTTTATTACCTGGGTTAACTCTTTTACTAATCATTAGTGAGTATGATTCCTTCTTTTTTAAACATACAACGTTACTCAGATCACTAGTATGAGCTCGGAGTTTATACGTAACAAACAACCTCTCTAGAAGTACCACTCATGATGTGAAGGAAATAAAAGAATTTTCAGAGTGGCTACTTAAAGTTGGGGATGGTGATCTTGGAGATGATGAAGACAGAGAATTTATGATAACAATTCCAGATGAATTATTGATTACAGAATCAGATGATCCCTTTCCAGATATGGTTAATTTTGTTTATCCGAATCTCTTGGATAATATTTTAGATCTAACATTTTTCAAAGAACGTGCTATTTTAACTCCTAAATTGTCCGATGTTGCTATGTTGAACGAGCACCTGATGTCTATGATTCCTAGTGAAGAAAGGACATTTTTGAGTTCTGATAAAATTTTGAAGCAAGATGTGGCTTCCTCTGTTGAAGATGATGAATTCACACCTGAGATCTTAAATACATTATCGTGTTCGGGGATTCCTGATCATAAATTAACCTTGAAGGTTAAAGTTCCAGTAATGCTATTGAGAAATATTGATCAGTCCAGAGGTTTATGCAATGGCACAAGGCTGCTCATTACAAAATTGGGGAATCATGTTGTTGAGGCAATTGTTCTTACAGGAAGCAATATAGGTGAAACTGTGTTAATCCCTAGAATGACGATGAGCCCATCAAGTCACACATTTCCTATAAATTTCCAAAGAAGACAATTTCCCCTGATTGTTTCATTTGCCATGACTATCAATAAGAGCCAAGGACAATCTCTTTCTCATGTTGCAATTTATCTCCCTAAGCCTGTCTTCACTCATGGGCAATTATATGTGGCACTGTCTAGAGTAAAGAGCAAGCATAGATTGAAGATATTGATATTTGATGAAAACGGTTGTGTTACAAATAGTACCCTTAATATAGTTTACAAGGAAGTATTTCAAAGATTAATGTAGTAAATTTCCTTCTGTCTACTATGAGATAACATCACTGCTTGGTACAGGTAAAGACAAAAAAAAATGGCAATGGAGTGCATTTTTACTTATATTCGTTACCGTTTGGTTTTTTTAACTGCTACTTTTTTTCTTATGCAGGAATCATTTTTCATGCACACATGGTATATTGTTAACTGCTATTTTTGAACAAACAATATTCCATGGTCATCAATATATGGATGTATTGTTATAACACTTTTTATTTGTACTCACATGTTCATGTGTTTTTTTTTCATACTTTCATTTGTAGATTCTTACTCATTCATTTCTAAGAGGATGAAGGATCACAAATGTAGGTTCGGCATCTTACATGTGTTACGTTAATTTTTACGAGACAAACAAGTCGATTTTTTTTCCTCCGTGCAACGCACGGGTAATATACTAGTAATCATACAAGATAATGCCAATATGGTTGATAAACAAAACGACATTGCCTACAAAAATGATAAAAACAAAGGCATAATCATACAAGAATGATAAGGAATAAAAACCTCAATTGTTGAACAAGACATAGGAGATAAGTCATGACTATACTAATAAAAAAAATATTGATGAATTAGTTATGTCAATGCTTGATAGTGACAATGATAATCTTAGTCTTAATAATTGATAAATAGGAGAACAATTGATTTTAAATTTGATTAGTTATGTTTTTTGCTATTTGGATTTTTTCTGAATTGGACTTCATAAAATATTATATATTTTTAAATCATTTTTCATCATGTTTCTGAATTTTAAGATTTGATACAAAATAATAGTCTGACGGTAGCCGATTTGTATTGCGATGCAACAAGCTTAATTCCCACTACTAGCTAGCTTCCACAATATAATCCCTCGCAGAGATGCTTGCAAGTTGAAACCTTATTTATAGCATTCATCTGATAATAAACAGAGAACATTAAATTTTCGGTGATGTTAAAATGGCAGGTAAAAATGTAGGTATAGAACATCTATAGATTTCTCATTCTTATCAATCACACGATCGGTATATCTTATTTATATTTTGGTAAACGTATATCTTATTTATTATTATTATTATTTATTAATTATCAATAATAACCTCTTAAAACACATGCTTGTCTACTCAGTAGGACTTACACAAATTTCACACTCAAGTGCACCTTACGTTATTCTTACATCTATTAATGTCAAAATTTTCAATTTTGTTAAGAAATATTTGGAGCGGCGACTTGCGTGAACAAAGTTGGGCATTCAATCTGAAGAAGGAATGAAATTAGATAACACATCTGATGACAAAGAAGAGGATGTCAATCCCTTGGGGATTCTATACCAGGGACAAAATTGGGAAGTACGACCTGAAAATCAGTCCACTTTTCAAGATATAAGATATCGAGATGCAAATCAGGATTCCTGACTTTGAAGTCTATGATCATAATCCAATTTATGATGATTATCCGATTGTTGATAATTATCCCATTTATGATGATTATCCATGTTATGATGAAGATTCAGTTTACGATGATAACACAGTCTATAACAAATATGATGGTGAATCAGATTATGAAGATCTAATAGAGGAAGATTTATCATTTGAATTTTTGTCTAAAGAAATTGAGATCAGTGGAGATAAACAAGATTCGAGGACGAATCTTTTCCTAGTAAGGGAGAATGATGCACTCATAGTTGTCCCATTGTACATGGCTCAACCATTGATTCAAGAAACTCGTAGTCAACTAGAATTGTGGCCTAATAAGTATGGCCCAATTGTTGAAAAAGGCAATGATTTGAAATATAACAAATTACAATCGAATCCAAGTCCTAGTAAAGCAACAGATGTGATTGTGATTTGTTTGGGAAGAAAAGGAAAGCAACATAATTGGCGTGATTTGAGATTAAAGATTTAGGATGTATTTTGAATTATTTATTTGTAATTTTTTATTAATTATTGTTATATTTATTTTATGAAGTTTTATTATTTTTAGAATTTTAGATTTAGAATTTCGAATCAATTTGTAATTAGTCTATAAAAGGGTGCTTATGACCCTTATTCTAGGAGTTGAATATGTTGTTAATAGAAATTGAGAACAAGAGGGTTATTCTTTTGTGAAATCCTAACTTTCTGTTTAGCCACTTTTTTATGCACTTTTTTTGAAATACAAAAGCATCAGAAAACAATAATATAATATTTTTTTTTGGCAATGAGATATGAAGCTCTACACAGATGAAATTTTGTTGATGAGATATGACTAAATTTTTTCTTGAATTTAGTTGATGGGTTGATGGGTCTTGGGTTTAGAAATTTTTGGGCTATGATTGGGGAAAGGCACAAGTAGGTAGAAGAAAATTAATATATTGGATCGGTTTGGATTTGATTGATTTTCATCAACCAATCCGAAAACCGATCCAATCCAATTAAAATTTGCGGTCTTTTTTTGGTTTTCAGTTTTTCGGTTTTCGATTTATTTGGTTATCGATTTTTCGGTTCGGTCACTACGGTTTGAATCGGTTTGGATCGGTTGTTAAACACCCCTAGAGGAGAGGTTCTCTCTTCCGCCACCGCCTCTGCATTTGATCTTGTTTCACTTCCAGTTCGGGTTTGTAGTCATAGCTTGTTCAAATCTCCTCGCGCCAACGTCCGTCCGCCATGTTGATCCACTACTACCAACTCTTCAGACTGATGGTCATTCCAACTAATTTGTTGTGCTACCGATTTCTCTAGCTTATGTTCCGCGAAGCTTTGTTTTTTAGTCTTCTTTCTTCCCAAGATAGAGTATTCATGTTATTCATCATCCATCTTGAGGGAGAGTGTTAAGAAGTTCCTCTCGAGGAGGAGCACCGTCCATGTTGCTGATATTCATTCCAGCACAGTTCCTCTTGAGGGGGAGAACCATCCATGTTGCTGATGGTCATTCCAGCACAATTGTCTCTGCCGATGGTCATTCTGGCATCGTCCATATTGCTGATGTTCATTCCAGCACAATTCATCTTAAGGGGGAGCATCGTCCCTCTTGCTGATGGTCATTCCAGCATAGTTGTCTCCACCGATGTTCATTTCGGCACCATCCATGTTGCTTATGTTCATTCCAACACAGATGTTTCAGCCGATGTTCATCCCAGCACCGTTTCTTTTCGTCGATGTCCATCCCGACGCCATTTTTAGCACATTGTTGATTTTTGGTTCCTCATTTAGGAGATTTATTTTGATGTTATGTTACTTAGTCTTTCCTGTTTAAGCTTGTAGCATATGATTTATATGCTCCAGCTTGAGGGAGTGTGTTAGAGAATAATATAAACTATTAAAAAGGCCATAACCCAACACATTAAAGTTTTGGGTTGAATTGATTCTTTATACGGTATCAGAGCTTCAGTGACCACAAGGTCACGAGTTCGATCCTCACCGCCTTCTACTTTCTAGTGAAATTAAAATAAGTATAAGGTAAACCAAAAATTGGGTCTTTGTAAAGAGCTCTCTTATGAGGGGATGTGTTAGATTATAATATAAATCATGAAAAAAAACTCTCACCTGACACCTTAAGATTTTAGATCGAGACAATTCTTTACTTATGGCTTCTTATACTTGGGTTCTGATTCATTTAAACATGTTGAACTTGGGCTTTAAAACCTGATCCATTTGCTGGTGGTCGTTTGATAACCTGAGATGGCATCAATCCTTATGGATATAGCTGCAGGATCAGAACTCACATCGTGTTAATACTTGAACCTGTCAGAGCACACAACTCCACTAAAATTGACCATTGCTATATGATCACGTGTATCTATGTGAGGCTGAGACATTATAAAAAGTGTAAAAAATCTCACTTGAAATAAAAAATCAAGTCAATTAACTTTCAAATATGTACCGATTGTTAAGGCTTCACTAATTACACACAATTTTTGAATGTGAAGTTCCAGCACAGTTAAATGCTATTAAACAGCCCATTCTTGATAATTTTAATTAGATTCTTATAATGAAGTCTAAGTAGATTAAGTGTGGAAAATTCCAGATCAAAATCTTAACCAGATTCTACTTAAGCATTTAACACTTGAAAGGAGAAACCAAAGATATAGTGACTCTTTATGCATCAGAAATCTTTTTTCTCAGTTTTTTCCCGGTTAGTCAGAAATCTTTTTCATTATTTTGGCTAGTTTTCAATTATCAGATCGAGTGATATGAGATTTTTTATAAACTTCTTTCATTGTTGTCATGAGCAAGTTGATTTAAATGACACATGATTGAAACATTATACAATTCTGCATTAACAAGAACCAATAAAACCGTAATCTTATATGCCAAAATATGGATTCAGATACAGTAAAAGCATATTAGCCATAAAAAAGACCATAAATTGTATCATCCCTTCTCCACTTTCTAATTGCCACCTTGTAGTCACAATTAAACTTGGTGAAAGAGAATTAACAGAAGGATCAAGTTGAAGTGAGTTTCATGAATTTAGAGACCAAATGGTATCCAGGATAAGCTAGTTTACCTTAAAAAAGAAAAAAGAAAAAAACAAAGATCATGAAAATTTCTTCTGACCTTATTCCAAATGCAGCTCAAATGCAGTTGGTATTGCTTTTTGTTAATCAGCCTAATGTGTATGGCCATGGCTAATCATCAATTCCTAAAATTCCACCCTTTTGTGCTGGCAAATTACCAGTATGCATCTTCTGAAACAGTTCAAGATCCTTCTTAAATACCCAATGATACCCACAATTCTTCACCTCCAACTGCGCACCTAGGCCACTTCTTTCTCCATATGATCCAAGATGATCGAACAAAACTTCCATCTTGATATCTTCAAGATCATGCGTCTCGCCCTTTTTGCGAGCTGCCCGACTCATAAAATCAACTGATTGTTCCCTAGGGAAATAGTATAGCCACATATGATCTGATTCTACTGTTACCAGACCTTCATCGAGTCTGCACAGGGAATAGCCACTTATGATCTGATCTGCTTTACAAGTAAAACGTATCTGTAAATAGGGTATCTGTTCATTTCTCAAAGTAATTGGATCAGTAAGTGCCACAAACACTACACAGCAAGCAATGCCAATCCAATTATTGTCATGCATAATGGGTGACAGGTCTACCCTTAATGAACAACCCACAGTCTGATTGCTGAACCACCTTGGTATTTCACTTCCAGGAACAACAATATCAATCCAACAAATGCCAGAAGATGATTCTTGCCTCGCCTGGTAACACAAACAAAGCTATATCTTAGTTCATAGTTCATAAAGAGTGCTGGGAGAAGGAAGGAAGAAATAAAGAAGTATGCACCTGAATGACTTCTGTTATCCATGGAAAAATCATACTACTGCAGCGTTCTCTCTCACCCAAATTTGGGCAGTTGAAAACGTATAATTTTCGTATTCTCAAATGCTCAGGAATGTATGTACCTGAAGGGGTACCCAGAGGGAGCTCCGGCAAAGATGTCAAGTGCTTGCAATGGGACAAGTTTAAAAACACAAGTTTGGAAAGCTCCTTCAGGCTACAAGTCAATCTAACAAAATTGTTTCCCTCTAAATATAGTCTTTCTAAACAATGTATACTTCCAATAGCATCAGGGATTTGTACTAGATCGCAGAAACTTAGATCAAGATATCTCAAACAAGAGAAGCTAGGCAAGGAGGGCAACAAACAAGTAGCTGAATCTTTATGTATTCTAGAATACAATAAAGGGTAAGGCAACAAAAACCTTTTGAAGATGGAGGATGTTGATTGGGAGTGCATAACAGTTTCACTTATATCAAGCTTCTTCAAATGCTCCCCATGACTTGTTAGCTGGTTATTTAACACTTTTGAACAGCCGGAGAGATTTAGATATTCAAGAGAAGTGAGACCCACTATGCTGTTGGGTATGCTTACTAGATTTTTGCAGTTTTTCAAATTCAAGACAGTAAGCTTTCTTAGATGACCAATGGATGGATCTATCTCCACAAGTTTTATACATCCTTCAAGATCCAGTAACTGAAGATTTGGGACCTCTCCAACATCTGGCATCTTGCTAAGATTTTTGGAGTGGCTAAGATCCAGCCTTATCAAATTAGGCATATACTGTAAAGACCAACAATAATAAACAGATTTACTTTCAAAAAAGGGAAAGAAAATGAGAATTTATGCTCCTGATTTCATTTATATTTCTAAAAGAAAAATAAAAAAGAATATTCATAGTACCTTCTTGCCTTGCCATAATTGTTTCAAGCTGCTATGCTTCAAGTTCAATGCAACAAGCTCATCCGGCTGAAAACTTGATGGCAAATACATGAACGGATATTCTCTCCACCCAACATATCGTAATTTATTACAAAGACAATTGAGGCTGCCTGAAAATTTCACATTACTGAGTATAAGCATTCTAAGGTGACTCATTTTTGACAATGCTTCAACCGTCAATCTTCCAGTTTCTTCTTTACCATTCAAAGCTACAGCTTCAACCTTATTTTCCTAAGAGATTGAAAAAAAGAAGAAGAGAAACTTATATAACTTCCACTACATATAGAAAAATCAAAATATAAATTTTTTTCTATTTTCAAACAACTAACTCACCATTTTCTTATCCAATGCAACCTTGCAGAAATCTTTATATAGCCAAAGTCGGCTCCACTTTCTTGGTTCCTTGGGTGAATTTTCTCGAACTATTTTTCTTCCTAGCTCTTGCAACAAATCATGCATTTTAATATGTGGAAATCTAGCATAATAATCTGAAGTGGTTAGGAGTGATTTATCAATGAGAACTCGTATTCCAATATCAGGTTGAAATCCACAACAGTCTAGACATCTCTTAACTAAATCCAACGGCTGCCCATTGAAGAAACACGCAATATCTAGAAATATTTCTTTTTCCATTTCTTCCAATCCATCATAACTGATTCGGAGCACATCCATGATATCTTTGCTTGGATTTTCTCTCAATCTAGCCAATGCACTTATCCACTCAGAGACATCTCGACCAAATAAAAATGAGCCCAATACTTTAATTGCCAGTGGAAGGCCATTAGCATAACTTAGTATGTCATATGTCAAAGCTTCATAACCTCTCCTAATATCATCATATTTGAAAGCTTTTCTACAAAATAATTGAAGAGCATTATCACCATTCAAGAGTTCGACTGTGTAAACATTGTCCACTCCATACTCTCTAAAGATATGCAAGTCTCTAGAAGTAATGATGATTCTACTCCCCGCACCCAACCATTCACGATTCAAAGCTAATTTCTCTAATTGTTCAACTTGATCAACATTATCAAGAACTATAAGGACCCTTAGATGACCAAGCCTACGTCGTATCAAATTAGCTGCTGTAAAAGGATCGGATATATGAAGGTTTTCTTCATTTAGAGCTTGACGTAGAAGTTGTTTTTGTACATCAATTGGATCAGACTTGTTTACATCAGCAATGAAAAAGGAAGCATCAAATCGATGAGAGATTCTTTCATATAAAAGAGTAGCAAGCGTTGTCTTACCTATTCCACCCATACCATAAATTCCTATAACCTGAACAGCATCAACTGAGCTCCAAAGTAAAAGCTTTCCTAATTCTGCTACTGGAGATTCTATCCCAACTAGATCATTTGGAAGACTTGAAATTTCCTGATCCAATAATATACTAATTATCACTTTAACAATTTTTTCAATCTCTGCATATTGAGGCCTGAAAGTTGAAAGAAAAAAAAAGAACACAAGATCAACACCTAGGAAAACCAAAACAAAATGTAGATATACAGGTCAACATAACAGAGTATATTTTTTACATATTAAAAACTATTTTCATAGAGCATGGAAATTTGTTCCCAATTTGAGTGTGAACTCTTCAACATATTATACAATACTCTCTCTCTCTCTCTCAATTATAGTTCGAAAAGAGGAGATAAATCAATGAACACCAAATCAGTAATAAACAATCAATATCAAGAGTGGCATGAATTTAGTTCTTTCATGAAAACCTTAAATTTGCTTAATCAAGTGTTGGTACAGGCTATAAACCATAAATATCAGTGAAGATACTTACTTATCCCGTACATCCCAACCAGAAAGATTGGCAATTTCTGTCAGATCTCTTCTCCATCTTTTCACTTCCACCATCATATCTGAATCTTCTTTGAATCTTTCTTCATGTTCAACAAAGGCTTTCTCATAATTCCCACTTTGTTTTCTCACTTCAGACGGATCAACATCATAGAAAACAGGCAGAACACGTCGTTTTCCTGATACTTGAACGCAATCGAGGATCTTTGCGAGTTCTCGCAAGCACCATGTTGAGGAAGCATAGTTCTTTGAGAAGACAACAATAAAAATTTGAGACCCTTCAATTGCTTGAAGGAGCTCAGGTGCTATGGATTCGCCTTTCTTGAGCTTTGTATCATCTCTGAAGGCAACAATATTTTTTCTTTGGAGAGCACCGAAAAGATGATCGGTGAAGTTATTACGTGTGTCTTCACCTCTGAAGCTGACAAACACGTCATATTTCCATATCATCCGAGATGAAGAAGTGCTTGTTGTTGTTGAGGAAGATGATGAAGCCATTAAATTACAATTGCAAAAGCCGAAGCAAACTTGTTGAGGATGATATATATAGCTTTGATATTTCTACAGTGAATGTAACATTTTCTCCAAAGATGTCGTTTTGGTTAAAAGTTTAAAAAATTACAATGAAAAAGATTATTATAACTTTAAAATAAATTATAATTATAAAATTATTTTAATTTCTGTCTCAAAATGAGGTCGTTGTAGATTTAATGTAGATAAGTTATCTATGTTGATTGTAGAAAAAGTGAACCATATATATATATATATATATATATATATATATATATAAATTACTGTGAATATGCAATGGAACGGAACCACAAGTGTTTCAGGAAATAGAGAAACAATGGGTAATGAACAAATATAAATGAACCTTAGAGTTAAGACTTAATAGTCTTAAGTTGGTGAATACATACTTCAATGACTCTGCTTCCTATGTGGTGAAGTTGGGTTGCGGCGGGTAAGGGAAATGCTTCTTCTTCTTTCTTTATAAAGCTGACATGAACGCCATTTAGGTTGAGGCGTTGACTCTGGGCAGCTTCTCTCATTTTACATTCTAATAATTGAGTTACAATTTTCAATCCACGTTAGGAGGAAAGTTCTGACAATTTTCAACGTGTCCATGTTACTCTGACAATTTATTGAACGTAAGCCAAACGCATCCACCCCGCATCCACTTTTTTTTTTTTTTTGGTATCCTATTTTATTTTATGTTATTTATTAGTTAACACTTCGACTGTTATCTAAAGTTAATATGAACATATTTTATTTTTCCATGAACTTTTTTTATTAGGGAAAATTGAATTGAGTTTATAAAAAATATTTTGAGTTTGAGAAAGACTAAATTATAAGTTTAATTCAATATATTAAGATTTATTAATCTTGCGAATTTTATTAAGAATTAAATAAATATTAAAATAATATTTTTTATTATTGTTGTTATTTATTATTTTTATTATTGTTATTACTATAAGTAATACTTTTCTTGGGTTATATTTATCTCAATTTACATAATAGAAATAATTTTTTTACACACACAAAAGAGGGGTGAATCCCTTACATGTGGGTCACACTTATAATTTTATTTTTACAATATGAGATAACTATTTTCCTACAACATAAGAAAATATTTCCCTACTTTTCTTATGTTACATAATAAATATATTATTTCTTACACTCATATTTTTTTAAATGAGTCTTACAAGATTTTTTTTCTTCTCCTTCAACTCTCTTTCCCCTTTTATTTGTTATTTACGTAGGAAATAATATTTCTTTTAGATAACATAAAAAAGTGTAACCCTATTATTAAAACAAGTCAAGTCTAAAACTGACTCAAATATAAGTGGTTCAATATTTCACCCAGTTCAAAAAAATAGGTATTTATGGGTTAGATCAAGGTCAGATCAAGAGCAGGGCAACTGAATCAATTTTTTTGCACACCCCTAATAAAGACCATACATAATCAAATCTTAAAGGTTTAGGTTGTTATAGCCACTAAGGCAAAATCATCTCGCGTAGAGAGGGTGGGATCTCGCTTATTTGACTAAGCAAGTTAACGTGAATTAACCAGAAAGGAACCATCATTATCGAGATCAGCAGCTCCAACAAGTTGGCCACCACCTGAACCTATAATAGCCCTAACCTAATTAATTAGTAAATTACATGTAATTAAATAATTAAGCATGTATTGGTGAGTAAAATTAAGTATAAGGCTTAATTAAATAAATTTGAGTCACTTTGGAGTAAAAAGTGTACTCAGTGAAAATTAAGGGGTATAAATGGGTGTAGGAAAAAGTACCCAAAATATAAAAATAAAATTGGAAATATCCCTAGAAAAATGTTCCAGACTTTTGGGTAAAGTTTGGTAATTAATGGAGTTGAATAGATAGATGAATCAATACCCACTTGATTCCACTTAACCTATGTTAAGTCATAAAACACAAAAAGGAACCCATTTCCCACCCCTTGCCCGTCGAACAGCCAGAGAAAGGAAGGAAGAAGAAGAAGAAGAAGAAGAAGAAGAAGAAGAGAGGGAGAGGGAGAGGGAGAGGGAGAGGGAGAGAGAACCCTAGAGTGAGCAAATCTTAACCGATTGGAGCGATTCAAAAGCCTAAACCACCTAGAATCTTCCCCTCTTTCATAATCCTAGCTTGGTTTTGAGTGGGAGTCCTTGTGGAGAGAGATATTGGCCCCCAAAGATTCGCCCATTTTGAGAAGTGTGGGGTTTTGGGAGTTTCTACCTCTATGGAAGCTTGAGGAACGCTCATTCCTCTATTGTGTGATCATTGGTGGTAAGTTTCCACTCTCTTTCACATGATTCTTGGAGATTTGCATGAGTTTAGGGTTTATGAATAGTGAATTGGGGGTTTTTATGAAATGTGATTAAATTAGCTATGTTCTAGGAAGAATGGAGCTTAGTGTATGTTATGAAAAATGCTAAGAATGGCATTTAATCGGTGAAAATGAGTTTAGATAGTTATATGACTATACTTGGTATATTGCAAGATTATCATGCTTGTTGATGAGTATTCTCGCAATGTTGAGTTATGGTGTGGTTGATTGGTTATTGATTGTGCCTATATGGTGGTTATGGTTGAGGCAATCGGACCAACCGTGATAGACCAACCATTGGAGCAAGGAATGGAGTTGGATTAGCTCCTTGAACTAGGTAAGTTCATACCTTGTGGTTGATGAGTTGTATAAGTAGTTGATAGTAATGAAGTATTATTGATGCAATGTGTTGAATTGCATTACATCGTGTGTAGGTGTTAATAATTGAAGTAGATAATTGTTGAGATTGGTGAAAGAACAAAGGATAATTGGAAGCTTTGAGGTAAGCCTTCAGACCTTGGGTGTAATTCCCTTAATTGTTCCACCAAGCCCGGAAGGGGTAATGGTTGTTATGTGTATATAAATGCAATGAAATAGTGTAATGCTTTGTTATACGTATGTGTATGCTTTGGTGTGGCATAGGATGGTGGTTCCCTATGTTAGTATGTTGCATGACGATGCGTAAATCATACTTGGTAGTTTAGCTGGCCAGTAGGACTATTTGCATCTGAGTTTCCTTAGGACAGCTTGAGAGCTCGAGGGATTTCTCCTGCAGATGTTATTGCACTTTGTATAGATATGTATTTACTGCATTATTATTGTTATTGCTATTACACTGATATGGAACTGTGGGGTGGAGAGATGCTCCAAGGACTCCTGGTTTACTGGATATATTCGTATATCTCATCTCGTGTTGTGGGGACCCCCTTTCAGGTAAGGATGCTGCAGGAGCCACCAGTGGCAAGTGGCCATACTTGGACTAGTAGTGATGCATGAGGATCCTGTATTTTGATATTATACATGTTGTTTTGTAGCTCACATGTATAGGACTGTAATTAATAGACAATTGATAGATGTATGTTCTGTTTATTTGGAATGGACTTAGCCTATGCTCATGCCTTTGGTTATCTCTTTGTTGATGGGAGCCAAGGGAGTGATCATAGTGTTTTGTAAGCTAAGTTCCATGAATTGTAATGAATATGATTTGTAATTGATGATTACCTTAAGTTCATTATATGCATGCTCTCTATGTATTGGATTGTTGAGCTGGAAATTATATTAGGTACCTAGTTCTAAATTGGGAATTGTTGAGAAAACAGAGGTTATGCTGCCCAAATTTTAGTACAAGCCATGAGGAGAGGTTGGAAAAGTTCTAGGGTTAAGTTAGATGGTTGAACAAGTGTGGCTTGTAAATGGAAATGCAACCTCCCTAGAATTAGACTTGAAAAATGGGGGTATTGGAATTCCCTGGCAGCGTGCTTCAGCGCCCAGGAGCGCGCTCAAGCGCTCTGCTGCCCCTGTGTGAGCCAATGCTCACTGCCTCCTCGCGCTGGAGCGCCCAAAGTGGGGGCTTAAGCGCCCAAGGTTGCGCGCTTGAGCGCCCTGGTTCGCGCTTAAGCGCCCTTCGCTGCAGAATGATGGGATGCTTACTGTCTCTGCGCGCTAAAACGTCCCAAATGGGGGCTTAAGCGCCCAGGATATCGCGCTTGAGCGCCCTGGTGCGCGCTTAAGCGCCCATTTACACTGAAAGACCTGATGCTCTCTGCCTCCGTGCGCTTAAGCGCCCAGATGGAGGCTTTAGCGCTCGATAACGCGCGCTTGAGCGCCCGGTAGCGCGCAGGGCCTGTGTTCAACACCCTTTTGTGTTGCTTCAAATTGACATAACTTGGGCTACAGTGCTCCAAACGAGGCGCGGTTCGAAGCCACGCGTAGCTAATGATTAGAAGAAGACATTTAGTAACCTTTGGTCTAAGGATATAAGAGTATGATGTTAAGCTTAATTCATTTTATTCCGCAATGTAATATGGTTATGATCACGCAATTGGGCATTATAAATTCGGCATGTTTTAAAATGAAAAATTTGACCGGATTTTAATTGAACCCATGTGATTGTAACTGCGCTTAATATCATAATGCGATGTTAACAAACCGGTTCTAGAACGGGGTGTTACATTATATGGTATCAGAGTAGTTTCGTCGGGAATAATTGTTAGCTATTGTTGTGTATGCTTAATGTTTGATGCTTTATAGTTGTTTTAGCACTCTTGATGATTATTACATTTGTGATCACTAAGTGTGGGCCTGATCAACTCATTTCTTTGTGTAACATGTGTAGTGACATGACGAGGCACCGAAACAACCCCGGACCATCAAACACCAATGCTCAGTCAGAACCTGTTGTGGCTGCTCTTGTGAGGCCCAGAAGTGGGCGTGGGGCAACGGTCGTACAGCCTGATCCAGTGGCTGAAGCTCTTGCAGTCGTTCAGAGGGAGTTGGCTGCTAGCAGGCAAGCCAATGAAAATCTAATGAAAACAAATGAAGACTCGCGGAATGCTATGGCCGTGATGATGACCGAGTTGAGGACGTTGAGAGGTCCTAGGCCCGTGAACCAGCAACCCACTCCTCCTCCTCACACTGCTACGCCTTCTCCACCTCCTTCACAAGAAGAGGGTG